GAAAGTCTGCGGCGTACAAATGGTTTGTGCGTTATGCAGATTTTTTCCATTGTCGTTAAGTTACTCTCCCCGAGATCCGCATAAGAGAATTGTTAGGTACGAGGAGATCATCCTCCCTTGAGCGTTTCCGTCTGTCTGCGTCGTGTTTATGCAGCCCTTTGTAGCACACGTCGCATCCCGAGGATTCGTCTGCTTGGAGTAGAGCAGTTCTTCCCCTCTGCCACCCTCCCTCATTTACACCCAAGTCTGGCAATTTGTACATGTCTGGATGATTAATCGTCCCCTGAGCTAGCAGAAGTGGGTGTGTCTGTTCCTGACACGTGACGTGGTATTGTGTGTCCAGAGAATCTTCGAGGATGCGTCATCAGTGACGTAGATCCCTATTTCGTTATAAAATGGGAGAGATTCAGTTTCTAACACGGAGGTGGCTCCCTGAAGGTATAACGTGGCCCCATACAGTCAGCAGTTCTCCTTGTACGAAGAGTTTAAGCCCTTTCGTATTGTTTGGAAATATTGCGGCATGGCCTGAGTTCAAACCTCGCCAGTGTAGTATAAGTATTGATGGTTTTCTTGCTTCGTGAAACTCCCTCTTACGTTCTGTATTTTGTTCATGTGTAACTGCTAAACGTTTGACGAATTTAAACGAAATTTGGTATTGGAGACATATAGCTGACTCAGCTCTGGATTCAAAGGGTTGTTGGAAATGAAGTATGCCAAGCTGTGAAGTTCAGAGTGCATGAGTTGTGGAACATGTCAGTCTCTGAGAGGGATAGTGACACGTGCTAGCTGCTCCTGTGTGGAGTAATATGTAATTACCTCACAGTAATGATTGGTTAACCTTCGGCTTTACGTAACAGCGTTTATAAACCTGACGTGAACTGCTCGTTTTCAAAATGACACGTCGAGTGCTTCTTATTCACCAAGTTTTACTTTTCGTTTCCCCCCCCCCCTCCCCAAATGGTTTATTTGGTCTTGTGCGTATGTTGTTTTATCCCCCGATGTCCTTCCCCTAGCGTCCCTGTAGCGTAAGATTCAAATTACACAGGGTTAGAGGGACAGGAGACGGTGGAGGAGGCCAAACCACTTGGGCCTTCTTTTTTTTTTCATTGGCTTTAAATAATAGGCCCTAATAAAAAACAGCAGTAGTATGGAGTGTCTTGACATCTCGTGAAGTCACGGCCACACTTAGCCCCAAGGGATGTTTCACATCTCGAAGTAAAAAGAAAACAAAGCGAGTTCGGTTCTTCGGGCTGCTGTGTCTCTCCGTCTCTGTTACCCAGGGGTAATCAACCGCTCGACTTCATCGGGTGGGCCGGAGAAGAGGCCCTTGTATCGCTCTGAAGCCTGACAGCAACATGAATACCTTTCCCGGGCTGTTTGCCAGTCAGAATTCAGTTCAGCAAAATAATGGTTAGAAATTCAGCTCATGTTATGTCTTCATGAGAAAGAGAAATGCAAACTGCAGAGCTCTGTAACTTTAGGGTATCAGGTGCATATGGGAGCCACTACACAGACATTCTAGTAGGATTCACAATCTTGTTAATTGAGTGTCACAATGGAACAGATTCATTCTTGAGAAACTGGTAGTTGCGCAACTCGTCAGGATATTCACTCTCGTATGTAACCCGAAGGTTACCATATGCGCAAGACCAAGTTGAATTCAGTCGACACCTTTACACCGTATATAAGATTCATTTCTAACCTGTCAGTCTACCTTCGGTCTGCCTAGTGATATCTCAACCAATTTTGTATCCGTGTCACACTTGCACATTGCTTGCTGAATACACCACCTACGCTGTGATGTTAAGATAACTGCATATTTTTTCTGAGATCATGGTTTTAATATGGTCCACAATACATGAATAACCGTTACTTGTCTTGACAGCATTAACCGCTATGCTTTGTAACAGACGCAGTATGTTTCCTATGAGGTGGGAATTTTAAGCCTTTACGAGTGGAGTGCCCGTTGAGACTTCAGCGGGAAGTCCTGTCGTTACATGAGCTTTCGTGCTGTTAACTTCCCCTGCTTTCTCCCGCGTTCCGTTCTAGGCCTACATGATATCAAGATGACGCATTGAGGCCGACGTTTAACCTCAAATTTTACGAGTAACACAAATAAATAAATAGTAGTAAAAGGTCTCCTTTGCGTACTACACTTCACTTATCCTCACCGAAATATTATCAGTACCCACAACATAGACACGATACACTGAAGCAAAAGATGCTTTCTCGTTCGAGATCTACATCTTAACTGGCGTTCATGCAGTCTGGTAGCCCGAAATTGCTCATTTTCGTAGGTTTCAAATGGTCGAATATGAAGTTCGTGCGCCGTGCGACGGCCGGAGGCTGAACACCCCTGCTGCGCGCCATAACCCATCCTCCTCTCCGCTCCTCAAGTGGCCGTATAACTTTCTGGCACGGGCCAGGATTTGCTTTCAAGGCCAGACCGAAAGCTCTTACCCTTTAACTTAGCCTGTTGTATTTCTGTCTCTTCTATAATTTCTCGGATTACCTTGGCCATATGTTAGTCTCCCCGACCCCACATTGCATTATTGTTTCATACACGTATATACATACATACATACATAATCTCGCACATTCTGTAGCTGTTTCTGAACCCAGTTAACATGTTCTGCTGGTGTCCTGCAGTTTTCTGTACGCTGAGGGCATGGGAAGTGACAGGAGGATTGAGAAAGCTGCTTCGTAATTTAGATTGTGAACTGATTGCTCCACGGAGTCGTGGATTCGATTCTCGGCAGCGGTAAGAGAGTTTTAGCCCCACAAGTCATTAACTAACAGCTCCCTTCTTGTTCACATGTCGGCTCCAACCGGTGCCGAGGTCAGGAAAAATTGGATCTGTGTATGCACTCCTCCCATACATCTTCACGGGTTGGAAAGACTTCACTCTTTTGGTGCGATCCGGACGATAGTTACAGAGATCGGATGCCCTGTTCACCGTTTTTGTCATAGCGGTAACGATATGTACCACCTGTTTTAACTTTAAAGAACTTGACGTTTTGCCAAATGGTGTATTTCATGTTTCGTATGATTCTCACAATGAACAACAACAAATACTTCCCTAAACAGCATTAACCGGTTGGTGGTTGTGTTTCCTGTGAGGTACGAACTGAACTTTTAAAAATGATTGTGACGAAAAGCGGTCAATTCAGAATCTCCTACAGCCGTGACTCTCGCTTGGCCCGTGTTTAGGACAGGAAGAGTTGAACGCTCAGTACCAAGGAGAGTCGGTGAACTGGATGGAGATTTTGGGAGGCTGTGTACATCGTATCCCCGATGGCGGATGGCTGGCTGGTTTTGTAGCAACAGAAGGTTTTAATTCTGTCCATGGCGACGGTGGAAGAGCGGGAGGGGTCTGTAAAAAGTCGATGGCCATTTCGAAGGTATCACGTGATCACATTTTAAAGGACGTAGATGGATCAGTTTGCTAGCATTCTTTATGTAAGTTCCGAGCAATAAGACACACCAGGTGTGCCTGCCTTCCTTTCTGATGCGGTAGTCACGTGTTCTCTGATGCGTTTCCTCATTCCAATCTCGCCGAGTGCGTCGATGTAGGCTGTAAGGTTGCTGTTGGTTACATTATAACCGAATAGTGGTTAAGTCGGGCAAAACACTTGCTGACGTCACTGCAGCATGTGAATCCGTACCCGGAACCAGAAGACATCCCAACGTTCCGTAGAGGGGGGGGGGGATAAGGATTTGTGAAAGCATTGACAACCAACTCCCCCGTACCTCCTGATTCGTTTCATAAGTGTGAGAAGATATTACAGAAATTAGCCTTGTCAACTTTGTCTTACCTGAAGATAATGGTAGTAGATTCCTCTGAAATGCAGGTACCTGTCTGTACTACCCTTTGTCACATGACAGACGTTACATCCAAGACTACTCATGAGAATCTCAGGTCCGATTGTCTTATGCACTTTGCAAAATATCTCTTAGTGGTTATTTGTATTAATTACGAAGAAGGAGCACCGACATCTCAAATGTTTCTAGATAAATAACCGTAGCAACTTCTGAAATTTCATTGTATGTAGAATATTGCCATGTGGTCAGGTAGAAGTAATGTCTCCACCTTTGGGGGTCACTGAGTGAACTGAATGTTTTGTGCCTGCTTGCTGGCTTACTCTTGGACCCTGAAGGTGGAGACAGTACATTCCTCCAAGACATCAGTAAACTACCAGACAGCATGACATCACAGTCTGTATGATAAATGGAACAGAACCTCAAATTTCATCATTTGTGTTGTCTGGGGAGCAGTTGTAATACACTTATTGTCCCCAAAGGTGTAACTTGCGTTACAATTTAATTTCTGTTACATGAAGGCACAGGCTTTACAATATTCTGATTCCTGAAGAGCATTCCTTGATGAAATGAACCTCCAAATGGCCTGGTACAACCTGTTAGTAAGTCAGTGTAAAAATGTTTCAGAAGACATATCCACTTTAAACCAGGATTTCATGTAAATAATATTTCAAATTCACTGTCATTTTCAAAAGTCACACTGTATCTTCATTATGAAGATGAAGCAGCCCCGATAATCCTGTTAGGAGCATAATTGCTGCTCTGAGAATCATACAAAACATTAGTTGACCCTGTGGGCAAAATAAGAGGTTTGAGTGTCAGAGCTGGCAGTACATATAGTCATTGCTGTACTTTGAGTGATTAATAAGGGCTGTTGTACAAAGTTTCTGCACAGTTATTGTCAAATTGTGTAACAGACTGTTCATAATGGAGCATAAGTTGTCACACATACGCACAGTGTTATCACTTATATTATTATATAAGAAATAATTTATTATTCACCATATTTTGAAGAGTCCAGAAAAGAGAACTCGAGACAGTAAATTCAAAGATTTTTATCAGCGTGTTGCCCTTGATTATTCTCCATATCTATGTTTACAAATAAACAATTATGCCAAACTGCCAGAGAATCATCAATTTTGAACATTTGTTTCAATATGGCTGTATATTTTTGGTTTCAGATTTCCTGAAGGAAAGAAAGCGGACATGCAGTGTAGCCAAATCTGTGTCTGTAGGGAGGACAACAATAACAACAACAACAGCAACAACAGAAGTGAAAAAGGCCAGAATAAGCAACAGCTAGGGAATTTGCCAGCACAGAGGGGGGCAAGAAAAGGAGACAGATAGAAGAAAAATGTAGTTATCAGTAAGAAAACCCATGTGACAAAAAGTAAAAGATCTCTTATCTAAAAATGTACAATGATATGTTAGTTTTGTTTTTGAGTGTATATATATGTACAACTTGAAACTTGTTGTAGATATATGTACGTAATTTATTTTTATTTTGTTTTCGTTTTTATGTTAGATTATTTTTTTCACTCTGATCTCGAACAGTTGTACATTATAATTACCGCATCACACCATGCACTGGGAAGTTGCTAAGTGGATGCCACAAGTTTGTTATTTTATTCAGTCATTTCTATGGCATTTCAAACTTGTACTATTTGGTTTTTAAATCGAACCTTGGTTAAGATTGCATACTATTTGGTTTTTAAATGGAATCTTGGTTAAGATTGCTTTGTATTTCAGTTTGGTATTTATTTCGAAAACTGCAAAAAAATATCTGCCTCATGTCTCGTTCTCTCCTGAATTGTGTTGTAGGTACTTGTACATGTAATTACATATTTTGTAATTACATGTAACAGACATTTGTAAGAGAAATTTTTATTTTTCCAGCCCCTGTTATTCTGAAACACAGAGGAATTTTTTATTTTGATATATTGGGTGATATCAGCAAATGGAAACATTATTTATATATATATATAAAACATTCTGATTATCAAATTTTAAGTTTAGAAATACATGGTCATATTTATATCACATTCCAAATATATATGTTGGGAATCTATTCTTCCCTGTCAGATCAGTTTTATATATAGGAACATGATGAATGTTTTGGTGAAATCTTTGATAAAAAGTTTTATATATCCAATTTAATGAACTGTCCTACTTATGTAATTAATATATACTTGGCTTCCAAGTTGCTCATGTTCCAAGTTTTCTCTAGCACAACACAATCTCAGTGTGTGTGTGTTGTTTCATACTGTGTTTTGAAATCAGAATACAATTTTGAGAAGTACACAGGCCACATTACCACATATATTGCTGGAGAGATTGCTAGCTGTTCGTAGATGTTATGCCCTAACCTCTCACATTCATTGTGGCATACCATCCTTGCTGGAAAATAAAAGTACATACATGACAGTATGTATCCATGTGTAACACGATTCTGATTTTTAGAAGGATATCATATCATGATATATATATCCTAGTGGTTAATAATGTACAGAGATGATATTGTGGGTAAGAGGCGGAGGACCTTGCAGCTCGTGAGTTTGGAACTGCTTGCTGGAACTTGTTATAGCTATTCTATGATTTATACATTTAATATTACGGGATGGGCAGATGGGAACCATACATAAGAGAAACTGGAAGAGTTTGTATATTGTTAAATCATGTGAAGAGCAGTCATTAACCCAGAGTGATGAGAATAAAATTTGTAATATCATACATTTTTATTAGAAGAATTTTATGTCTATAACCCAAAGAAAATTTGAAGTACAAAAAGTGGAAATATTCTTCAGTTTATTATTATTAATTGCAAACATACAAAGAGTACAGCAGATATACAGTAACAACATATTGATGGATAGTAGTGTGTTGTGTGGTTAATGGTGTTGCTGATGGAGTGAATCATTGTTTGTGATTGATTGATGTCTCTGGAATAGGCAGCTTTTTTTTTTTTAATCTGTTCTGGTATGAGGTTTTGAAGGTAATAGCTATGCCATGCTATGATAAAAATTGTTGTTAGCTTCAGTTGGTATCGTTTGGCCTGCTTGTACATACTTGACGCTCCATCTAAACAACATGGAGCATATTCAGTTCATTTTATAATAATTTGAAGGTTAGTATACAGCACTTAACATTTCCTGTTGAGTGTTTGGAATTGATAATTTGAAATTTTCATAATTTAATGAGCCAGAATCAGTGAGGCAATAAGAAGATGGAGCTAAAGTTATTTCCATCATGGGACACCCTATTCCATACATTATATTTAAAGCACAAGGGATCATAAAGAGAATGAAATGTAGTTACCTATCACCATAAATCTTAACAGCTCAGGGTTCATTACCAAGAGGATTCCCAGAAAGTTCATGAAATATTGGTTTCATTGTTCACTGTTATTTGTGTACAGTTAGTTTGATCAGGTAAAGGAGGGCAGTGCATGTAGCTTGCACGGGAGAGTAGAGGAATGCATGCAGAATTTTGATAGGAAGCCAAGAAGGAAAGTGACCAGTAAGAAAATCAAGACATATGTGGGAGGATAATATTAAAATAGATCTTAAAGAAATAGGATTGTGTGGTATGGACTGATTGATCTGGCTCAGAATAGGGATAAGTGCATGGCTCTTGTGAGCACAGTAATGAACCTTCAAGTTCCATAAAATGTTGGAAAATTCTTAAGCAACCGGCGGCAATTCAAGTTGGCTGGCATTACTGAATTTTGCTAAATTTTTAAGCAGACTGCACAGGCTCTGCATATATCCCCCCCACCACTTCCAGTCATCTTACTAAGCATTGTGTTCACATAAATATTAGTAACAGTAATCTTTACTAGGGATATGTGATTGGGGCTGGTTGACACTGCTGTGGGATAGCCAGAGGGCAACACAGTAGGAAGAGAGGGCACAACTTCTAGTATTGTCACTTACATCATCCATGGAACTTCTTTCAAAATCATAATTGCAGTTCTTTCAAATAATAACTAATTATTCTTTTAGCATACTAAACACACTAGTTGCTTTACTGTCATTAGTGAGACATTTGTCAGTCATGTTTGATCACTTCTCAGCCCTCTTTTCTGATCTTGACACGATAATCCTGCCCTTTCCTGGTGAATGCTGAATAGCTTCTTTATAACAGGGAAGCCAAAGTGTTTTGGGGTTAGGATGCAGTAAGCCACTCATGTTGTATTTGAGGTCTTCACATCAGTGAGCATGTGGAATGTAACTTTCCACCAGACTGTATGGTGTCACATCCCAGGCTTGCCTTGCAGTTACACTAAAAGACCCAAAGAGGCAGTCTTAAATGATACTTTGTAAATATGAAAAGAACATCTTCAATATGGACCCTTTTGCCTAAGAGTTATATATATATATATATTTTTGTACCTTACTCTTTTTGTTGCGTGTGGGTGTATCTCTGTCTATTTGTTTATTTAATGTGCTTCATTTTCTCATTTGCCACTTCATATTTCTTTTACCTTACAAATCTAAATAATCTGTGAAGGAATTAATTTTTCTCCATCTATATTTTAAGATAAATTTGTAAGTTTATGTACAAAATAATATAGAAATTGTAATGCAGTTACATCTGAATTGATAGGAATTTTATCTAGTATTTGATGTCAGAACTGAATTGTTTAGTCACACTTGATCTCCCACAAGAAAATAATGTAAACAGATGTGTCATATTTTTATCCAGAGTTATGTTATGGATATTTCCCATTTGTGGCTTATTTTCTGTTGCATTGGTTTTCTATTTCCTTAAGTCATCTTCCAGGCCACTTGTCACTAGCTGCAACTGATGGTGCCTGTTTAGATTTTGCAGAGGAACGACATTGGCTATTGTCTGGCTTGAAATCATTCAGTTGACAGATTACTGACTTTTCTTGACAAGTTTGTGTTATCACTGAACACAGCACGTTTCTTACAATCTTGAATTCTGGTTTGGCTGTTCGGCAGGAACCTTGGGACCTAGTGCGTATGTTCCTGAATACAGACCAGTCAGATGTAACTTCAGTAGCATGTAACATACATAGCTCTACAATCTTAACATGAGACCTCACTGTAATTATTACATTCAGAAACTGCATTGAAGAAAAATTGCATTTCATCTCCAGTATAAACCATTTATAGCTTGAAATTAAATGTTACCATTTTGATGAATGTTTAAAATGAGAGAAGATGTGATTTGTGTTGAAGTTGTTCGATGGTCCATGTGCTGAACAAGAAGGGATGCCAGTTAGTGTCTTTTCTGAAAGTAGCCTATAGTTCATTCCATCCTCTAGAAAGCGAGGCCAGTGCCAAAATGTACGTGACTATAGGTGGAGTATATTACAGTATTTATCTTTACTGATCAGTGTAAATCCAGCCTGTGTTAAGTTTAATAAAAGTAATTTTGTTTGAATCCATTATGTTTTAGAGAGGACACTGGCTGTTTGTATGCCATTCTGAAACTGATGTATCAAGCCTTGGAAACAGTGATCGTGCTTTGCAAAATGCACCTTTATTAATTTTTTTCAGTTACATAAATAAGATTGCGATGAAATTAATGCAAATGTACTTTTATACTATTTGAAATTTTCATAGTGGTGGGTATTCAGACTGTGGCCTTCTGAATATGACACCGTGTAGTCTTGTAGGTCAGTATCAGTGTTTTGGAGTTTTCACAAGACTACGTGGTGTAAAAACACAAAACATACAGTCTGAAGCATGGTGTAATTATTTTGGTAAATTACAAGACTTGTTTGGAAGTCATTATAAGAAATTGAATACATTCTGCTGCTATATAGCATTTCAGTATGATGGCTCTTGAAATATGTAGGTCACATGGTCTGTTTTCATTGGATGTTGAGACACGTTGCATTGCAGTTGCTGCTTGATTCAGGTCAAGGATTGTGTTTGTGTGATGACGATATTCTGACTGCTCACCTGAAATGGATGATGTGCCCAGAGGAAGTGTGATGGATTGTTCTATGCAGGAAATGCAGACATTGTAAGGAAGGAGGGAGGGACAAAAGGATGATAATGGAATTGCATAGAGATCTCTAAACACTGCTCCAGTACTCTGTTTTTTTTTTTCTTCTTTCTTTTTCCATACAAGTACAGTGTTATTAATATTATATTTTTAATGGTTTGAAACAAACTTGGACATAGCCAGATTTAAAATATATAGTCCTATCATATTTTTTTCTTTTCTTTATTTTTAACACCTGTGATGTATTAAATATGATCTCAAAATAATTCTTACATTGTATGTCATTATAGAGCAAAAAGGAAAAAATAAAGCTTAAACTGATTTGTTTGTAGCTATAAAGAGAGAAGCAATATTGAACTAAGTAAAGCGTATATTTGAGAGGCAATACAAATAAAGATAGCTTCTTTTGTTGGTAATAAATAGACTTTGTGTTCATTTCTTTGACTGCCCTGACAAACCAGTCATGTGGACAGAGCTTGTGACAAATGATCACAGTACACTGGCAGGCATACCAATATGTCTGTAAGGTATAGTCAGTCCCACATCATGGGCATCGTCAGGTGGAAGTTATCATTTGATAGTTACAGATATTGAGAAGAGGGAAGTTCGGAAATGTACTGTGATGTTACCAGCAGAAACCAAGCAAATCCACTTGAACCCTGACCCAAGACCGCTTTCAAATTCATTACATGAATACAGAGAAACATTACTGCTGCTCAAGAAGATACAGAAGTGTGTTTTGGTAAACTGGTTTAAGTTAAGATTCTTTCAGCTGCCTTGAACATGGAGGCAGCAGGTTTCACTGAAACGTAGCCACATGCATGCCATGGCCGTAACTTTGGGGAGGTTGGTAGCTAAAACTGTTTGCCACGTATACAACAGCTTGTAGCCAGTACAGTTCGTTCGCATAAAGAAGTGGACAATTTGGCAGGACACAAGGTCCCTTGATACCTGCACTGTCTGGCAGTGCAGCTGTTCTCTGCAAAGTTGACCTGCTGTGAATGAATTGAGAGCACCTTTTTCTCCTGTGGCTCCTTTCTTGCTGTGGGGTGGGGACAATGAACACTGGTTGCAGCAACAGGTAAAGGAAAGGAGATTGAGCTTTGTTATTGGTAGGAGCAGAAGACCTAATGTCCTGTTCAATTGGCCTTGTCAGCCTAAACAAAGAAAAGACTGTTTACTTTTCATTGATCCTTACATTCTTAATTTTGGCATCCATTATTGGATGGGAGGCTGGTCAGCTGCACAATTTTTGCCTCTTTCAGTGGGTAATAAGATACCGAAAAATGCTAATACAAAATTAATTGAACTGGCTATCATTGTGTGCATTCCCTGAGATATGAAGTAAAGAGCATCTGAGAAAACGATTTCCATACATGGTTACAGTAAAATTACACTTGCAAACAAAAAGTAAGTACTGGTAATGAGGTCTGACTCAAAATTCTTTGATGAAACTGAAGGTGAAGATAGTTAATCACATTACAGTGGTAACAGTATGTACCACTTGCTGTGCATTAAAATACTGTCCATTTTCTCCAAACAGTATTTTATATGATACAACAAATGCAGTTTCCCTAAACAGTAATAACCATTTGGTCTTAGTAGTGACTTTGCAGGGTTTTTTTGTGAAATAGGAAGTGAATTATTTAAAATAGTTGCATAAATGAAAGTTAAGAAGTGCGGTATGTAGGCCCTAAGTCAGAATTTACAATATCTGATGTAAAAAATCTTTGACTAATTGTCTTCATGATTTTTTTTTTAATTTAGCCTTTCTTACCAAGCAGCACTAGTACATAAACTGTGTACACATGCACTTTTACTGGTTAAGCATCATTGTTTTTATACATGAATGGTTATATGAAACTTTTACATAATTTTTAATGACATGATTATATCAAACCTGCTATAAATAAAAATGTGTTGTTCTGAAGCCAACATGGTGATACTGGTGAGAAGGGCGGACACACAGAATGAATGCATGTGAGAGCAGTTGGAAGATCAGGTTATGGATGAGAGGATACTAAACTGATTCTTAAAGGAACAGGTTATGAGGGTGTGGTCTGGATTCTTCTAGCTCAGGATAGTCACATGGAGGGTTCCTGTGCACTCAATAAAGAATATTCGGGTTCCATAGAAAGCTAGGAGTGCCTTGACCAGCGCAACAATTATAATTTTCATAATAAAGACTGCTCCATGGGGTTGGTTGCCGTGAAGTTATCGAAATGTTGAGGTTAAGACAGTTGACAGGTGGCAGCACTGTCTATCGAGTTTGAACGAATATCGGATGTAACGTCATGATAATAAGAATGAGGTTGCGGTGGCGAGTTAGAAGCTATGCAATTGAAATCGTTTTCTGAAATACGTGTAGCAGTCGATTATCGTTCAAAATAAGCGGAAGTAGCCATTGTAATTGCGCCTTTTCGCAAGGTCAACCGACGTGTTCGTTTAGTTAGTGTTGCTCGACTGCTAAGCTTGTTCGCGTCTGAAGTTTCTTCTACGAGTGGTGAAGCGTGTCAACAAGGCAAACAGTAGTAACTAAGAATGATCGTATTTGTGTGTCGATGCTACAACCAAGTTGCTTGCAGCTAGACGAGGTATGTTGTAGTAATGGCATTATACTTGCAGGGATTAAGCTGTGTAGTAGCAGTATAACGTCTCGCAGAACATGAATAATAATGTAATATATGAATGCGGAAAATAGGTTGAGAACATGCTACAGTTGATACGGCGTTAGGTGATATAATTGACACGGAAATCAGCTAGTACAGAGACCGCAGTGACTACTTGGGCGTACTCTTTATATCCGAAGCTGAATCCGGTCAGTTCGTATCATGTGACGTCACCGACGGAAAGGACAGTGGGCAGAGCGCCAAAAGTACCAAATACGTCACTGACAATAATCGCCACCGATGAGTGCGCGATAACCGTTAAGAAACATTCATGTTTTATAATAATTTTTTGTGGTCCAGAATACTGTTGCGACAAGTGGAAAGAGTTTCTTTGCGAGTATGATGTACGGGCGGTATCCGTTCCCCTGCCAGCAATATTATCAAAGCTGATGAAGAATTTGAAACATTAACAGGTCACAGACTCGAATGACGCATTTGACCCTTTTTTACTATATGGCCCAAACAATGAAACTAGCTTGTAACGTAAATGAAAATAGCATGATTCTTCGTCTTGTCCCATGCATTGAAACAGTGTTCAGTTTTACCCAGGCACAAATTCGCGGTAAATCAAAACTGACCGTGTTACATTTTGGAAAAGGTTCCCCCATACCCACTCCAAGAAAGACAAAGTAACTCCTCTACCCTCGTTTGAAACGTCAGCCTGTTAATTGGTTGCAAAAGTTTGCAACTAAATAAGATCGTACAGAACTGTAAAACAAATTTTAAACTAAGTGAACTTTTTTGAAGCCAGCTCTACTTGAGCCCAAAGTGAAGTGCTGTGTCTAGGCAGAACGGACGATCGAATTGATTGATACTTTATCCAATACTATTTACTGTGCAGTACAGTAAACAGTATTACATATAGTACTGTAACAGGATGCTTAAATACGAGATTAATACTTTATCATTCGAAAGAAGCGAAGAAGTTTTCGTGCAGAGTAAAATATCTCCCTTCAATTTCTCCAAAGCGAAGGAATTGTGAATGCAGTGTACCCATACTTCCGCCCACAGTCATGGTGATTTCTATGCTAAACCAGTATAACATTAACATCGAATTCGTTCAGCAGGGCTGCATTTGAGGGGAGCGACTGGGACGGTGGCCCTGGTGCCGCAATAAAACAGAAATACACTCCTCAGGTCTTGGTGAGACAGCTGCTTCTCCGAAATCACGAAAAGTTAGTCTCCATTTTTAATTGTTTTTTCTTGGCACTACAGCCCCAGTAGGCCTAGGCCTACCTCCATGAACTCCGGCCCATTTTTAATTACTGTAAGAAATAATTCCGCTAACTATGAGCCGATTGTATAGAAAATGTGGGAATCTCAACATCTCACAACCCTATGGGTCTCCACGGCCTGTTACAGGGATACCTTTTTTTTTTCGCTTAGTGGGGGTTGGAGTCCAAATTGGGTCCACTCGGCACAGCGGCCACTGATTGGCCTATTGTAGCCTGCCCCGCGTGGTTATGATGATGGAGAATTTGGTGGAATGAAGATTGGCAGGGGAAATCGAAGTACTCTGAGAAAACCTCCCCAGCGCCACTTTGTCCATCACAAATCCCACTTGACCAGACTCGGGCCACCGCGGTGGAAAGCCAGCGACTGACCGCTTGAGCTGTGGTGCGGCCCTCGAATACCTTTACTTTATTTACTCACTTTTAATAAGAAAATTATCATAAACGAAATTTATTGTTAGTGGCGGGGACTTCCACATTTTGAGTGCCCCGGGGCAACTACAACTGTTATACAGGAAGTGTAAACAAATGTGCAACAAGAAGAGAGAAATTGGCAATCACAGGACGGCCCATGTGAAATGAGGATTGCGACTTACGCGTCGGCTGTCCAGTAGGAAGCCAATGCGGTACTGCTGATGTCTACTCCAGTGTACAGCCAACTGGAGCAAACTGTCCTTTCTCAGCAGTGACAGTGACCGTCTGGGTTGTAACACCGTGTACTTTGATACAAGCCCACCGAGCTTATCACCCCCATCTCGAGGACCGCAGGAAACCAACAGTAAGTTTCTGAAGACAGACTCCTGCCAAACTACACGGCGTCACAACCCAGAAGACCGAGATAGTGATACCTGAAAGAGGCACACGGTGATCCTGATGTTATCTCTGTTCGACATGAACATAATTGGTCGTTGTTATTTCACTTCTGGACTGAACTATTGTTTTTTAGATTAGCGCCAACAGTTCTGTGCCATAAGGGTTTCAGGTCCCAGCTCCCCACAACTTTTGAATCACTGTATCGGTAATGAAGGGCGCACGCTTCCCACCTGAAGGGCCTTCTCGTGTGGTGGCTCGGGGGTTTCTGACCTGATCGCAAGGTGCACTGCAAAATGCCTTTCGCATATGCTGGTGTTCAGGACAACTTAATAATGGTACTTTAGATGAACAACTGACGCTCGCTTTTGTGTTTCGTATCCGTCCTGTGTGCTCCTAATTCTTTCCACTCGAATAAGGCCACTGACCTTCGCCTGTTGTCGTGATATAAAAACAGCAATTTCTGCAACAGTCACCTGTTCTCTGTGTGGGGTGAATGGCTACCAACTGCTTGGGTATCGAAACTTCCATCTCCAATGTCAGCATTCTCCAGAGCCATTATAAGGCTCGAAATCACCTGTCAGGAAGCCCGGTGAATGAACCCGAATTTCTGCACACGTGGGGGCCCTGTAGGCATCGAGTGTATGCCCATTGTTGTAAATAAGATGTAGTGTTTCCTGTGAAGTGAGAACTATTGTTTAAATATTATATGAAAAATCCACTGTAATGCAGCCCTACCAACGTTAATATCAAGCAGTGAAGTCCATGCTCAATTTCTGTGTTTTGTTGATACGTAACCCTTTACCTTGGGTCGCGCCATAACTCAAGCGGTTAGTCGCTGGCTTCCCACCGCGGCGGCCCGGGTTCGATCCCGGGTCTGGTCAAGTGGGATTTGTGGTGGACAAAGTGGCGCTGGGGCAGGTTTTCACCGAGTACTTCGGTTTCCCCTGCCAATCTTCATTCCACCAATTGCTCCACAGTCACCCTCACCTATCATCTGGGGCTGGTACAATAGGCCAGAAGTGGCCGCAGTACAATGAACTTAGTCCCACCCCGACCGCGCCATAGCTCAAGCGGTTAGTCGCCGGCTTCCCATCGCGGTGGCCCGGGTTCGATCCCGGGATCTGGTCAAGTGGGATTTATGGTGGACAAAGTGGCGCTGGGGCAGGTTTTCTCCGAGTACTTCGGTTTCCCCTGCCAATCTTCATTCCACCAATTGCTCCACAGTCACCCTCACCTATCATCTGGGGCTGGTACAATAGGCCAGAAGTGGCCGCAGTACAAGGGACTTAGTCCCACCCCACTAGCAATCTCACCTATCATCTGGGGCTGGTACAATAGGCCAGAAGTGGCCGCAGTACAATGAACTTAGTCCCACCCCGACCGCGCCATAGCTCAAGCGGTTAGTCGCCGGCTTCCCATCGCGGTGGCCCGGGTTCGATCCCGGGATCTGGTCAAGTGGGATTTATGGTGGACAAAGTGGCGCTGGGGCAGGTTTTCTCCGAGTACTTCGGTTTCCCCTGCCAATCTTCATTCCACCAATTGCTCCACAGTCACCCTCACCTATCATCTGGGGCTGGTAAAATAGGCCAGAAGTGGCCTTAGTTCCACCCCACTAGCAATAAAAAAAACTTTACCTTTTTCAGTTGCTAGCGCTTTACCCTCTGTCGGAAATCGATAAATCCGAGGGGGCACTGCCTGGGAACCTTCAAAGTAGGAAAAAGAACATTATGCCCCCCCCCCCCAATATATTTTCTGTCCGTCGTTTTAGACTTGAAAGGGCAGCTGAAACACGCCTAGTTGCTTAAACATCAGCTCCAGTCGTGAAGGTCACAGTCTTCGGGGACCTACACGGCTTCACATTCAAGCGACAGTTATCACCGCCACAAGAACCTCAGCTTCGTGTCAGTGCCTTCTCTGAAGTCATCAAAGTATGGTTAAACTAGTTTGTTGTATTGGTTTGGGGAGCTTATTTCACTGTAGTTGACGAGCGAGAAAGGCATATGAAAGTAGCTGCGAGGCAGGATGGACAAGGAGGACCTGCCCCTCCAGTTGCAGTGCAGATGGCTCGCAACGGCATGTGCAGTTCTTCAGCCGAAAACAACAGAGGTTCAATAAACAGGTTAATTCCCTTTCTTCACATCAGCCTGTTCAGCCTCATTTATGACTCCATCTCTTCCTTTGTCTTCCCACGTCTCTTTTTCGTGGTTCTTTCAGTTCCATTCATTTTCTGGGGATCTTTGTTCCCACTCTTTATATTGTCGCGATTTTAGAGTGACTGCAGACGGGGTCTGGTTTGGTGATTAGATTTATCGATCACTTACAGAACTTAATCACAGATCACTACGACAGCTTAGCTGAGTTATACACTCCCAAGGTCACCAGTAACTACAGCTACCCCTGTAACAGGCCGCGGAGGCCCGTAGGGTTGTGAGACGTCGAGGCTCCCACATCTTCTAGAGAATCAGGCTCACAGACGACGATGAGGTCAGCCCGACGCGCCGGCCGCCCATTACCTCCAGGAAGATTCCTGATGCTCATTGATGTTAGATTCTGAGTCGACCCCAGGACCGTGGTGCGGTCTACTACTCCGGATTTTTGTTAGACGGACTGAGGAAGACCATGAAAAACCTCAGTCAGGGAACATGTATCCCGGCCGAGTTTCGAACTGAACACCTCTCGAATACGAGTGTTAGAGAGTTATGATTGAAGTAGTGGTTTTGGGGTAGTCTGGTACGTGGCTACCAGTTTTACCATTTTAGTATAGCTGTCTGATATGAGTTTATATCTAAATACTATTTGACTGGACGAACTGAGCAAAGGAATGATAGCACGTCTCGAGCCTGTGGCTTCTCGTATATTTTGCTGAAATGCAGTAACTTC